TGCAGGGCATTATTTTGCTTAAGTAACTTGGACAATGCCATGGTGATCCCGGGTGCTACATCCCAGGTGAAACTGGGATCAGAACGCACACTCTCACTGATGGCTGGTGCCCAGGTAGATGCCAAAAGCCCTGGAGCAGGGTGCATACACTCAAGCCACTATGCCAGATGGCCTGACTGCGCTCAGTTGTGAGAGCTGCTTTGTACTTTTTAGCTTTACTGATGCGGAGAGAACATTTTGAACTGTCTAAGCCTAAATAACCTTGTATCATTGGCACATGAACAGCAGCAGCACGCTGTTGGAACATAAAAACAGGAGGGAAAGAGCAGTGGAATTAAATAAGAATTTAAATCTTCAGGTTCACAACTCAGAGCGAGAGGTTTGAGCTATGTTATTTCCAGGAATTGGTTGAGTCATCTTTGAGAATAATGGATAAGATTAATTCCTTCGTGACTACGGCTGAATAAATTATTGCCAATAATTTTATTTATGATTTGACCAATGCTATCTTCTTTTTTTCTATTGTGTATGATGCAGGGACATTAGCTGTATTCTGGGGGTGTGTGCCAAGTGTGCAGCGCCAGTCCTTGGCATCTAGCAGTCAATTTATTCCGTAAAAACAATTTTCAGTGAGATTAACCCAAGAGCAACTGAATGCAGGATCTGATCTGTCATATTCATGATTCATTTTTCACCTCATCAAGTAGGAAGAGAGGAGGTAGAGAGAAAGTTATTTAGCTCTTCACAACAAACCCTTGTCTTCAAAATCTGAGCTGCCACAGAGCTGTAAGCTATGGCCCACAGAGGGACATGACAAACGTTGCTTGGCAACTCCATGCCATCAATGGGAAGTGCTCATTGGGCTGAGCATCACAAAGGGACCAAGAGGGAAAGTGAGACAGTGGTACATTGGGATGCTCCTCCTGCCTGGCCCTGTTAGACATTGCTCATGCCCCGGTAATGGGTGTAGATGCAGGCCAAAAAAGACTTTCCTCTTGGGTGGCAGAGTAATTGCAGGTCATAAATGGGGAAGTGTCCCCTGCCTGCTTCCCAGGAACAAAGGGACTCTGTATCTATTAATATCCTGAAGGTCACTGAATTCTTCCCAGTGTACCTAGCTGTGAGCAAAACCTAAATGTCTCAGAGGCACTGCTGCTTGGTTAAACACCTTCAGGGATACAGAAAAAGGCCGTTACTCTTTGCAGCATCACAAAACTACCTTGCCATCTTGTCACAATAACAAGCTTTGGGCTAGTGGTGGTGTAGCCTTGAAAGCCTGAGGATGCCAAAGACACCAGTTGTTGGAATGCAGAGTTTTCAGGCACAGTATTCCTTTATCAAGTTTTGTCACTATTGCAGGATTATAAGTTAATTGAAAAAAGATTGACCTCACAGAGGAAACCCTATGTGGCTGCATGCTGCCACACCTCACCAAACTCCCAGCTATCTTCAGCAGCTAACAACTCCAGAATACACCTCTGTGTGCCTACACAGAGAGCACTGTTAGGTTTATCTGGCCCAATGCTGGCATAAGAATCAAGAGATACTTGGCAAACTTCACAAGGAGTTTAGCTGACTCTAGTTTGGGGTGCAAAAGAATATTCTGTTTGAAGGTAGAAGTTCTGCTTCCCATGGTATAACTCTGGGGAGAGCAAAGTGCTCATTTTTGTCTGACTTCATGCAGCATTAGACTGGACTGGCCATTTCTTCTTAGCGAGCCCTAAAGTTCTGGAGCAAGAAAGGATGTTTGTACAGAGCTGGCTCTTCCTATTTACCCACAATTGCAGCAATCCTTTATGGAAAGTGCCCATGCTGTAGTCACACTGCCGGTGTTACCAAAAATCACTGCATGCTTTTAGAAGTCCTGAACAACCTGTGAGGAGAATACATGTGAAATATCCCCTATGGTTCTTCATTAGAGTGGCAGAATGTCTCGGATGTTTGCAAGTAAAATAAGCTAACAGTTTCTAACATATATTAAAAATTGGATTTCTTCTTTTTCAAGCTGTTTTCTGCATCTTATCACCTGCAGGAATATACCTCTTTTTTCAAGGGGTGCTTACATTACGGGTTACATCTCTTCTACCCAAATGTGATGTCTCCTCATTGCCTTCCTCCCTAAACACAAGCCTTGGTAGGTTGAGAAGTTTAATCCAGGTGTGACTGCTTCTGGCCTTCATTTTTATGTGCCATATGGAATTGCAGGATCACAAGCTACTGCTGCTTGTGGCTGCATGAGGCTTCTGACTACAAATAAGTACACCACCTTTTGTCTTCCTTTTATGTAAACAGGCAGAGGGTTTCATTAATTCTCTTATCTTTTTCTGTTGTTTTTTTGGTTTGTTTTGGTTTTCAATTGAGGCTTTGCCTTTGTAAACCCTTTTCCTTTTTTTCAGAGTCTCTTACACTAATTGAAACAATTACAGGTTGTTTCCTGAGGACAGGTTATTCATCCTGTGACACACTCAGCCTTATTCTGATCTTCTTCAGTCAGGTTTTGTGCTGCCCAAATTCTTCTTCCTTTCCCCCTTCCTTCACAAACACGTGCTGGGGAACAAAGACCCCAACACGTGTATGCTTTGATCTCCATCCAAGAACCTTCCTGTGAAGACCACTTGCCCCACTGGCTGCAGGTGGGCATTTGATCCTTCCTCAGCAGGGGAGAGAAGGACTTCTTCACTACGTAGAGGGGAGAGATTAGAGACAAGCATCTTTCTTTGGCTTTTAAGGAGGTCACAACCTCTCTAGTTCTTTCATACACACGTATAAATTTATATGTCTGAGTCACTCTATGTATCTATAGTCTTGACATCTCCACTTGATCTACTGAGGTAGGTGCCACTCTCCACCCCAGTACCCTGTGATTACCTACCTGCTGCCTTCTGGTGCTGATTCAGTTGGCTTTGGTTTTCAAGCTAACGTCCTACATGCAGTATTCATACAGAGACCAGCTAGAGGAAACTGAGATTTAGATTTCAGTCATGTTCCTAGTTCCTTTGGTTTCCTGTAGCTTTCAGTCTTCTTCCCCAGAGGCGTTTCTCCTACAGCACCCACTCACTCTTGATTTCCTTCCACTGATGCTCACAGACAGTGCAGAAAGAAGGCAAGCAAGGAAACCCTCTCTTCTGTCAGCCAGCCATGCCCACACCTCTGGGGGTAGGGGCCCAGAGCCAGGCCTGCTCCTGCACAGCACAGTTAGAATAGCTCTTAAAAAAGTAATTACCTTTGATTAAAATGTAAGGTCCCATCTTCTTTTTGTTGTTGTCATTAATGTGGGCTGCAGGCTACGGGCTTTGAAGTGTTTCCTTTTGGCTCATCTCCCTGTTCTTTCTTCATTCTTTTTTCCTCATTTTTCCTTTTTTTTTTCTCTTTTATTTTAATTCTCTCACTGATCTGCCCTTTCCAGCTCACACTGAGGTTTGTTAATTTTCACATGCTTGCAAAAGCCCGGCTGGCACACTCCAGCTACCTGGCAGCCTCTAAACGGGCAGCCAGTCACAGGAGCAAGCAAACAGACAGCACATCCCTCTCATTAGCTGCCTTGACCCCAGCTTGGCTGCTCCAGAGGGAAAGAGAAGGGAATTGTACAGTCACCTTGCCAGAATGGCTTGTCCCCTCTGCAGAAACACCAGTCTGAAAGGCATGAATGAATGAATACACTGCTGTGTTTCATTAAGGATAACCAGAATTATTTCATTGGTGATCTTACGCCCTTATGGGCTGATGGACATCTTTACATCACCTAACCTAGAGGGTTAGTACTTTGTTTCCCAGCTTATGCATGCAGTAACAGGACACCAGGCCAACAGGACACAATGGCCCCTCAGGTATATCCATCTGTATTACCATCACAGCTGATTGCTAGCTTGGGTTAGTCCAGAAAAGAAATATAAGCTTTGAAAGTGATTTCTCTCTCCTCTTGTCTGGACAATGGAAATGACTGGGATGCTCATATCTTCGTCGCAAAGGGCTTCCCAAATGTTGAGCAAAGGCGTAAACCGGCTGAGTGACTTGATCAAGGTGATGCTACAAATCAGTTGGAGACCTAGGAGAAAATACAACTTTCCTGGATCAAAGCCCAGGGCCCATTGGACAATACTGAGCACTTTGCTGTAAGCTATCCTTCGTAGATGTCATGCAAAGGCCAAAACATCATTACATCTGTGGAACCATCTGCCTTGACCTTTGTCATCCTTAATCTCTACTTTCTTTTCCCATAAAAGTACACGTGAATGCCTATAAGCAGCTTCTCTTTATCTCTCTCATGAAAGGCTGCCTGCATGAGGTTTCTCTCTAGCCTTCAAGGAGGAAAAAGTTGCTTCTTAGCTGAGGTGCTTGCCCCTGTTACAGGTATAAATTGGACTTGAGCACTGCACTGCTGGGCCAGCTAAAGTGCTCAGGGAGGGAAAAACAAACCAAATACAAATAAAATTGGGGATTAAAACTAAGCACTAATAAATACACTAATGTCTTGGATTTCAGAGTTCTTTAAATATCCCCTGTCCCGAGTGTCAAGGGATATTTCCATTTGATTGCATTGATTTCTGATACTAGGTCATCTAAATATTGCACCTTGCTAGAGTCATGCTTCAGCGTGGGGATGTAGAGACAGTGGAGTGTTAAACTCACTTATACCTGCCTTATCCAGGGACTCTCTGTATAATGCTGCCATTCTCTTCCCCTTTTCTTCTCAAGCAGAAGCATGATCTTCCTTTGCAGGCAAGTGCTTTATCCTAAGCACCATTTTTAGAATCTTCCCTTTTTGTTCTTCAGGCTGAAAGTTCCTCTTCCTTTCTTTCTCCTTTTTCAAAAGAAAACAAGTACTAATTGAGGGAACTTATTTTAAAGTGATTGAAATAAATCCTCCAGCCTTAGATCTTGTCATGCCTCCAGCAAGAACACATCACAGAGTTCCAAAAGTGTCCAGCGTTGCATCTCTAGACTCCCTTTTGTAGCACGCTTGCCTTAGAACTGAAAGGTGAGCTCCCCTATGTACTTACCTATGTGGCAATGCTTTAATTGCTGCCGTGTACTCACAGCAGAGAAGCTCATACAGATTCCTGCTAATGGCAGTGTTGGATCCCAGCTGGGTCTGGTCTCTGAGACACAGATAGCTTCAGAGAAAAGCATGAGACTGAGACAGTGGCAGCTCACTGGGTCCAGGAGGGGACTTGATGCACACAAAGGTCTGTCTTGCCTCAGGCAGAGCAAGTCCGACTTCAGCCATATTATTAAATCACTGTGGTTTAATAAGCCACCATGTCCCACTGAGCAAAGGCAACTGATAACAACCATTATCCTCAGGTTGTGTCAAATGTGAGATAGGACGGGTGAAGCTGTAACCTCTTTTTGCTAACATTTGCTAACTTCTACAGCTGTGGCAATTTGATCTTGTGTCCCTAGCTTCAGAGTGACACAAAACAGATGAGACACAAACTGTATGTATCTGACTGGATGCATTTTAATCCTAGACAGCCTCCTGCTCAAATCTAAGTGCCATCGTGGAGCTGGGGGCTGCATGTCCTGGCAGCCCCTGGGGTGAGCAGTGCGAGCAATGATGTTAAAAACCTGCCCAGCCTCAACAAAGCCCTTTGGGACTCTGGGATTTTCCTACATCGAACCTATATCTTTTTCTTCCTGAAATGAGTCGATGATGAACGTGACACTTTGGTTGCCATGGGAACAGAGAGTGATGTTTGTGTTAGCTGTGCTCCTTCCCTCAAGCAAGTGCTGCTGGCTCTAGGGATAGGTGTGAGCAGCACTGATGGCATCCATCAGGTCTTGCCCATGTGCTCTCACGAGGGATTTGGGAGTTTGGAATCAGCCCCATTCATGTTACCAGAGGAAAATCTGAAGGGACAAGTTACTGTAAAGTAGGAAGGTTTGTCTGTTAGATTGGAGGGAATTTGGTAAGTCCTGTCTGAATCTTCTGCTGCAGAATCTTGCTGAAGATCATAAAGGGGGATCCAGGCACCTGGAGACCAATAGACACCAGCACAAAGAATAGCTGAAAGTTTTTATTGTGGGGAAGAAATGGAGCCCTGAGTTCCCCTTGTAACTCTGCTACTGGTGTGGCTCCAGCATTAGAGGGGGACTGTCAGGGACCACAGCATTTCTACCACACCCTTCCTTCCTTCAGGTTTTCATGCATTCCCTACCTCCTCATCTCTTTACACACGTTCATGTTCAATTGCTGACATCCACGCTCTTCCCCTCTCCTGTCTACCCTTAGGGCTTTCCTGAGCCTCAGCTTGGAAATAATCAAGAAGCACTTTCATGCTGTTGTAAAGCCATTTGGAGCTTTCAGAAAGACAATTTGGGAAGGACTCCTCATTGTCCCTGCTGTTTTGCTCCTTTCACAAGCCTCCCTTTAAATCCTCTCCTAGTATCATTTTATCAGGGGAAAAAATATATTTGTAAAGACCTTACAGAAGTAGGTTTTACTAAAGCAAAGGGAAGGGGTGAGGTTGCAGTTGTGTTTAGGGGACAGGTGAAAGCCATTCTCAATCTGTCTCACTAATGGGAGTATCAGAAAGGGTGGGAGCTCCCCAGGAGGAGATAAAAGCAGGACAAGAGATGGTGGTGGAGGAGGGAGGACAGGGAGTGATGGAGACTGTGGCATAGGCAATACAGATGCTCTTAAGAGCTATGAGAAAGAGGAAAATGCCACCCAGGGAATCTATCCAGGTGGTTATAAACTAGGATTTAGAGGAACAGCTTGCAGTATGGTAAGTGTTAGTCTCTAAGACCTGTCAGAAGTTTGGTAAAGAGCAGCAAGAACAGCAGAAATAGATTAGGCATGTGAAGCTTGTTTCCAGGAAAGAAATTCTCTTTTCTGTCTCTCATAAATCTTTGCCTCTTCACTACTTTAGCTGCTCCCTGCATTCTCTGAGCAGGCTTAGTGTTCATATGTGGCCAGAGGGTTTCAATTTGAGCTCCAAATAATAATAATAAATTCCATAAAGTGATTCCATGTCCAGAGCGGAGATAATAGTGCTTTATGTTTACACAGTAGAGTCCATGAGACTGGGTTGGGCAGACTGAAGAGCAGCTTCTCACCTGCTGATGAGGTGCAGCTTGCTCTTGTTGAAGTGCAGTGATGCTGCACTTGCTCTGCAGTAACTGCACCAGGAATATAGTGAGGAAACTTCTCTGGGTAAAGCTGTGGAGCAAAAACTAGGTAGAGAAAGGAAATGTGATTCTCCACATTGTATTTTAGCCAGGATGTTGAAGCTAAGCATCTGGTTAATTAATAAAAGAGCTGCAACAGTACTGTACTCCCTACAGCCATGCTGGGACACTGGAATCTGTTGTTGGAGACGAGACTGGCTCTTCCATTATGACCTCATTGCCACACGTTCCAAGACTGCCTGAAAGTGGCTCACCTGCGTGTTGGACAGTAGCTGCTCAAGCAGCCTGCCTCTGCAGCAGACCCAACGCCTGGTTTACACAGCGCTGCACTCAGACCAAGGTATGTCCTCGTGTTTCATCCAGCATAAGGAGAGCAGGAGCTGTGTAATAGCTCTTCTGAGTTCACTCCTCATTTCTGTTAGTTGGAGGTTCATGTGCTTAGGAAGAGCAGAGAGAGGAGCGTATCTGTTATCACCTCTTTCCCTGTTTGACATGGGATGTTTTGTGCTCGTTTCCACGTGTGAAGGTCATCGCAGCTGCTCTGTCCTAGGGCTGGCTTGCACACAAGTAGCACTGGGACTTGGTTCTTTCAGAAGATAAGAATCTATTTGTCGGAGAGCCAGCTCTGTTGGGGTGGGAGGACCTTGTGATGGCTCTCCAGTGTGATTTCTGGTGGGAATTATGTTATTAAGAGGTTTTGGCTTGCTGAAAACAATGTCTGGTTTTGTGTTTCTCTGCAATACTGGAAGTCCTGGAAAACCTCCCCTCTGTCTCTACCAACCCTGTCCCTCAAGGGTGAAGTTCTTCCTTAGTGCCTGTGTATTACCCAACCAAAATGGGAAGTTTCTATACTGAGGCTTTTAGTACTGCTGTTCCAAGTGTCAAGGTCGATGTGTAAGAATGTGATTGTTTTCTGCAGGAACAGATGGATGTGTGTCTTTTCCTTTATGGTACTATTGTCTTGCTGAGCTGATTGACCACACAAACTGGTGTCTCCTCCGGCTGCCCCCTTTGCACCCCTATTTCACTTGGTTGTTAGAGGAATATACAGTTATCAGCTTTAAATCTCACTGTGGCCAGATACCTTTTCTCTTTTTGTTTCCTCTTACAAAAGCACAGTGTTAATAGAATTAGCTCTGCTTGCCAAGCAGATGAGCATCACACAGTTTAGAGAGAGTTCTCTGTCACAGGTATACCAGGGACATGAAGTGTTCTGGAAACAAGCTGAGGCTGTGGCTTCCCATCAAACTTCACATTAAATCCAGTTTAAAGAGAAGGACCTTGGCATGCTTCCTGCATCCACACTTGTGGGAATTCCTTTTGCCTGGTTTACACAAGATTATGGAAAGAGGAGGTTTAACACTGGAGATGCATCTCTTAGAAGGACTCAAAGTGTTTTATTGCATTATCATGGACCTATGCCACCTTCTCCAGCAAAACAGCTGACTGCTGTGGATGTGGGATGGAGTGACACAGTTCCAGGAGGACAAAAGTAGAGGTCTGCCCCTTGTGTATTAGCAGGAGACACTGTTCATCTGTGCCTCTAAAGTAGTTGAGCTTCATGTACCAGCTGGAATCCAGCTGGACTAGGACTAGAATATAACCTTCAGTTACATGACCTTGCAGGCATGTAATTGAAGGCCCTCCCTTGATTGCCTGGTCTTCCCACTTGTTCGCAGGTTGGTGCTCTTCTGTGAAGCAGGAGAGGGCTTGAAATGATGTACTGGAGGGATGTCTAGGCTGGAGGCTGGGGTCCTCTATGGCTGAAAGTGGGTGTTTTGTTTTCCTGAATGAAGATTTGGCAATCTTTAGTTCCTGACTTCTCAAGGTTCTAAAGGAAGCGCTGGTGTGTTTTGCATCAGAAACTAAGTTGGGGGATGAATTACATTCTCCCTGTCTCCTTTTGCCCTGGTTAAGCAGGGGGATGGCTAACCTGGGTTAAGATGGAGGAATGTGATGGTTTTATCTTTCCTGTTCATCTTTCAGGCTTTTCACCACCATCTTCTTGAATGCTTAACAGACCTAAAGCTTTCTGCTTCCCAGGGACCATCTGGCTGGAGTATATCTGATTAGAAAAAGTCCTGTAGCTCTACCAAGTTCAGGGTCATTAAGTTATTCCAAACAAACCTTCCTCTTGTGATTTCAATTGGACATAACAGCAACCTTCACTTCCTGCTTGAAACTCTCTCATGATAGTGTTGGTGGGACACCTGTTGTCCACGAAGGCCTCCCAGCATCTAGATACAACTCTTTCCCTTAGTCCTACATGCATCAAAGCACTCGTACAGCCCTCCCATATGTCTCGTATACTGAGTTTTCTACTTGTGAGAGAACCTCCATGTCCCTGGTGTGGGGAAATGGATGTATATCCACTTTCATGGGGACTTCATTTGAAGTTTTGCTTTGTGAGTTTTCTGGACTTGTGTGTTTTTCCTTGTCTGATTTGCTCCTTTGCCTTTGCTCCTAATCCCACCACCTGGTATGGCTCACACTGCAGAATCTCTCTGCCTCCTCAGTGTATACGCCCTTCAAATATTTGCAGACATTTATCACTTCCCCCCCTCCCTGCTTAGTCATCTCTCTGCCAAGCTAGACATATTTAGCTCTTCTAATCTTTCCTTGCAACCGAGTCTCTCCATCAGTCATAATTCATTTCTCCTTGCTCTTCTTTGAATACTTTCCAGTTTGTCAGTCCTTAAAAAAATTCTTATTGGGGGTGTTTTAATAGGAACAAAAAAAAAAACAACACAAAAAAACCCAACAAAACAAAAAAACATTAAGAAGAGAAACTTCCTGAAAGAGAGAAGGCATTTTGGCTCCAAGTCACTGGGAATAGACAAGAGCCTATTGGGATCAGGGAGATCAGGGAATTCCTCCTGCAAATTCTAGGTGGGTGGCTTGGGCGCAGAAGAGTTGTCCCCTCTTCTCTTCTGTGTTTCCCTATTCCCCACCCCTGAAATCTGTAAGAGAAGGTATCACTTTGTATTATTTCTGTGTGTATTCTACAGTTGTGCTCTTAGCATGACAGACTCTTGCTCAGCTTTCCACCCGTTGTCTTCCTCTCAGGCTGAAGGCTTCACC